ATGGTGTGAAGCGTGTAGTTTCCTGCGTTGCAGTGTTATACGCAAATGTTACGTACGGCAAGATGTCGTCCCACGTTTTGTGCTGCACATCCACGTACATAGAGATCATGTCAGCTACCGTTTTGTTTAGCCTTTCTGTTAAACCATTACTCTGAGGGTGATACGCAGTGGTCTTTCGATGGGTTGTGTAACTCATCCTGAAGATATCATCCAAGAGTTTCGCTGTGAATGATGTCCCTCGATCAGTGATGACATGTGACGGGGCGCCATGCCGTAGCACAATTTGATGCATAAAAAAACTGGCAACTTCAGATGCGGTCCCTCTTGGCAACGCCTTCGTCTCAGCGTAACGCGTCAAATAATCGGTTGCGACAATAATTCATTTGTTGCCAGACGAAGACAAAGGAAACGGGCCTAGGAGGTCCATCCCCACTTGTTCAAACGGCGTACGAGGTGGATCGATCGGTTGTAGATGGCCTGCAGGCTTTAAATGTGATGTCTTGCGACGCTGGCATTCACGGCATCCCTTCACGTAGCGTTTGACACAGGCAGACATTTTAGGCCAGTAGTAGAGTTGTCGCACCCGATCCATAGTTCTCGAGTAGCCCAGATGGCCAGATGTGGGCTCGTCGTGGCAAGCTAATAAGACGTCATCGCGGAGGGCTTCAGGCACGACGAGAAGATGAGATCTGTCACCAGCACCGGCGGTCCTTTTGTATAAGACGCCATTTCGTAGGCAAAATGATGGCAACGTTCGCGACATCGGACGAGGAATGGGCGCAGTGCCACCTTCTAAATGATCTATAATCATTCTTAGATTGGCGTCATTTCGTTGATGCGACATCAGATCCGGTCCGCTGACAGTTGCCACGAAGGCGCCGTCCTCTTCTGCGCTAGTACTGGCGGATTGAAGAGGTGCTCGTGATAGCGTGTCGGCGTCTTCGTGCTTTTTGCCTGACTTGTACACGATGGTGACATCAAATTCCTGAAGGCGCAGACTCCATCGTGCTAATCTTCCCGAAGGGTCTCGTGGATTGGTCAACCAGCACAAAACATGATGGTCAGTCACCACTTTAAATGGTCTTCCGTAGAGATATGGCCTAAACTTTGTAATTGCCCAAATGACCGCGAGACATTCTTTCTCTGATGTGGAATAGTTACATTCTGCGCGAGACAGTGTGGGACTTGCGTAGGCTATCACCCGTTCAATGCCATCTTGTCTTTGTACCAAAATAGCTCCAAGACCAATATTGCTGGCATCAGTGCGTACTTCAGTGTTAGCATCTTCATCGAAGTGGCCGAGCACGGGAGGGGAAGAGAGCCGGTGCTGTAGTTCCGCAAAGGCAGTCTGCTGTTCGTCAGCCCAGACAAATGGTGTGTCATCACGCGTGAGGCGTAATAGTGGCTCCGCAATGTTAGAAAAATTTTCAATAAAGCGCCGGTAATACGCGCACAGACCCAGAAATCGTCGAAGACTTTTCTTGTCACTTGGAGGTGGAAAAGCGGTAACGGCAGCAGTTTTGTCAGGATCAGGCCGAACACCAACGGCGCTCACGACGTGACCAAGAAACTTTGATTCTTCGTAGCCGAAATGACATTTCTCAGGCTTGAGTGTGAGATCGGCCGATCTAATGGCTTCGAGCACATTCCGAAGGCGACGAAGATGCTCGTCAAACGTTTCTGAAAACACAACGACATCATCGAGGTAGACGAGACAGCTTTTCCACTTGAGGTCTGCCAGGACGGTGTCCATCATTCGCTGGAATGTGGCTGGAGCGGAACAAAGGCCGAAAGGGAGCACTTTGAATTCATAAAGGCCATCCGGCGTTACAAAAGCGGTCTTTTCCCGGTCACGTTCATCGACCTCTATTTGCCAATAACCGCTCTTCAAGTCGAAGGACGAAAAATACTTCGCGCGTCGCAGCTTGTCCAGAGAATCATCGACTCTGGGCAACGGGTACACGTCTTTCTTTGTGACATTGTTCAACTTTCTGTAGTCGACACAAAAGCGAAGCGTGCCACCTTTCTTTTTCACAAGAATGACTGGTGATGACCAAGGGCTGCTTGAAGGCTGTATCACGCCATCCTGAAGCATTTCCTTAACCTGCGTTTGAATCGCGTGCCGTTCGGTTGGCGAAACACGGTAAGGCTGCTGCCGTATGGGATGAGCGTCGTCGTAGGTGATAATACAGTGTTTCGTTATCGGTGTTTGACGTATCTTTGAAGAACGTGCAAAGCATGTGTGGAACTCCAGCAACAGCTCGCTCAAACGCTGCTTGTTTGCTTCAGAAAGCGTTGGATTGATGTCGACTCTGCGGAAAGGCGCTTCAGCAGTGCCGATGGCCTCGGAAGCAAAACACTCAGTGACATTGGCGACTGGGTCGGAATAGGCGATGACAGTTCTAGGAAAAAGGTGCCGGTGCTCGTAACTGAAGTTTGTGACAAAAACGTTGCAGTGATCATCACGAAGGTCGACAAGGCTTCTCGCTACGCAGACACCCTGAGACAGCAAAAGCGAGTGATTGCTTTCTACGACTGCTTCACCTGTGCATCACTCCGTCCCACGCCACCTGAACCACAACAGTTGCACGGGGTGGTAACGTGACAGTGTCGTCGACGACGCGAAGAGACACTCGGGAGTGGCTGGGGTCGGCGTAAACTGTTGTGGCGTTTGTGGTCGCGAAAGTGACTAGACGTCGTCGAATGTCAATTATAGCACCATGCTCCCTGAGAAAATCCATGCCAATGATGAGGTCTCGAGAGCACTGCCGGAGAACGCTCAAACTGGCAACAAATGTACAACCGCGGACTTGCAGTCTTGCCGTGCACATACCGAGTGGCGTTACGATATGCCCGCCAGCTGTACGAATTGGCGTTCGGTTCCAAGGCGTCGTTACTTTCTTGAGAAGGGCGGCCAGCTGTTCGCTAATTATGGAATAGTCCGCACCAGTGTCCACTAAAACGCTGACTTCGCAACCATCTAGCAGAACAGGAATATCTAAGGAAACTCTTCCGCAATCAGCCGATGGTGTCGTTGCCGATGTATCGTCGGTATCTTCAGTCTGCGTCGATAGGGGGTCTTGAGCATGACCAGTCTGAGCGGCCTTGCCCCTAAAGGTCGCTGAGGCTAGTTTTCCCGACGCGGGCTAGGTGACCGGCCTTGCGCCACGCCCGCATAGGTGCGATGATTCGGTGGGAACCGCCGCGGTGATGGAGAGCGTGAGTGGTGCCGAGATGTCGATCCGCGCTGCTGAGCAACGTAGTCGGCGATTTCCGGAGGCCGCTGGCCGAACCTAGGAGGTGGGGAGTTGGCCGAAAAACCACGAAGTCCTAGCTGCCGATAAGTGCAGTGTCGGTAGACGTGCCCAGGTTCACCACAGTGATAGCAAAGGGGACGTCGATCGGGGGCCCGCCACACGTCTGATTTTCGCGGAATCGGTCAGCGGTCACTGAGGTACGGGCCCGCTTGGACTGCCTGAAGCATGGCTGGGGCTGTGGTATAAGACGGAGTGAAATGGGGTGCAGGTGGGCGCAGAGTTTGATCTGCCGGAAGCATGGCAGTGGCCGCGGTGGGAAGCGGAGACAAAGGTGGTGCTGGCTGGAGCAGAGTTTGCGCATACGACATGCGAGGGAAGTCATTTAGGGGCCGCGGCTCTGTCTGACAAGACGGTTCTCGTAGTGCCTGCTGAACTTCATCTCGGACGATGCCGGACAAAAAACTGACAGTGGACGCCGAGGGTACAGATAACTTCTGCAGTTCTTCGCGAATTACAGAGCGTATGAGCTCTCGGAAGAAGTCGACGTGGGCCTCAAACCACCCATGTAGTCCGTAGCAGAAGCAAAGTTCACTTGTCGCTCGTATGTCTGGGTCTGTTGCCGAAGCGTGCTTTCAATCAGGACGACTTCAGCAAGAAACTCTGACGTAGTCTTGGGGGGGCTGCGTACAAGACCACCGAACAACTGCTCCTTCACTCCACGCATCAGGTATCGCACCTTCTTCTCTTCCGGCATGTGAGGGTCAGCTCGTCGAAAAAGACGCGTCATGTCCTCAACATACATTGCTACGCCTTCATTTGGCATTTGCATATGGCACTGGAGTTCACGTTCAGCTCGCTCTCGGCGATCGGGACTTGCATACGTTTCGAGAAGCCGGGGTTTGAAGTCCACCCATGACGTGAACACACCTGCCCGGTTTTCGTACCAAACACGTGCCCCGTCATTCAAACTGAAGTAGACATGTCGGAGCTTGTCTGTGTCATCCGACATGTTATGAGCGGCAACGAAGTCATAGTGGACTAGCCAATCTTCAACATCCTCATGGGCAGCACCATGAAAGGGATTCCGCGTTCGTGGTTTGAACAGCATATATTGCAGTGGCGTTGCGCCTTCCATACCGGCTGTGTTGGAGCCACTTGGGACGGCGCTGCCTGGAATAGTTGGGGCCGTCATCTCTTCTGAGAGAAGTCCGAACTCAAGGTCCAGTTCACGGATCCTGCGGCTAGCATGGTGAACAGGCGTAACCACCGGTATGGGGCTGGAGCTTCTTGTACTGGGAGGGGTTCGGTGCATAGGGTACCCAGCACCTCCACCAGTTGTCACGCGCTAAGAGCTCGAACGAACGTACAAAGGGACGCGACTGTCCAAAATCTCAGAGACAAAGAAGGCTTCCTCGTTCACCGGCACAGAACTGACCCACTGTTCACTGGCACAGAACACTAGGTGGATATATATATATATATATATATATATATATATATATATATATATATATATATATATATATATATATATATATATATATATATATATATATATATATATATATAGGTACATACATATACGTGAATGACAGCGGCACAAGTGACAGCAAAAACCAGCCGAGACTGTCCATATAATTGCTATTGCAATAATAAATAATAAACCTCGCACAGTAGAAATAGCATTCAAATGATCAGTGGAGTTCATGCTGATGCATGTGCCGCTTCCGATCTGTCCGAAACTTAAACCTCTGGGGGCATGAAGGGCACTTATAGGGTCGCTCTCCTGTGTGAGTGCGCAGGTGCTGCTTCAGTGTGGATTGACTTGCGAAGCCTTGGGGACATAGGTGGCACTTATGCGGTCGTTCTCCTGTATGAGTGCACAGGTGATCTTTCAATGTGCTTTTTCGCGAGAAGCCTTCGGGACACAGGTGGCAGTTAAACGGCCGCTCGCCTGTGTGAACCCTCATGTGTCGTATCAGGTCACACCCCTTATCACTCTTGTAGTCGCACAAGTTGCAGTGGTAACGGCATCTCCGACGTGGCTTGTCCATATCAGTGGTTGCAGGAGAGATCAAAGAACCCGACGCTGCACGTAGAAAAAAAAAAAAAAAAAAACAAGGCAGGCTAATGAAGCGTTGCTTTTTATTTGAAAAGAAAGCTGCTTCTGAATTTTTATAAGTAAGTGTTTTTACGACTTAGCACTCTTAAATGCAGTGAAGCCACTTTTACAGGGGATCACCGGCAGACATTTATGTATCTGTGCGTTGATATAGAATACTTAGAAATTTTGAATAATTTCAATTCGAATCGTAGTGGGTTTGAATACAGTAATATTCATTAGAATATTAGTACAAGCCTATTCAAGATGACTACGTTTATATACGAGCATGTGTCACACTGTTACCCTTAATAAGCTAATGTATTTGCTCAATCTCTCACTGCAATATCCTAATATAGCTTAACATCCTTCAGTCCATGTACTGTATAACCATGCACATAAATGTGCAGGCTGTATGTGATAAATTACAAGCATTCCTCACATGAAAGTATAGTGGAAAGTATGCTACAACCATATAGATTAGGACAACTAAGAAAGAGCAAGAGATTATCTTTTCAACACTAAAGTTGAAAGCTGAGGGTGATACAGCCGAATGGCTTTACAAGAGACACTGATGTAAGATACAAATGGCTACAAGAGACACCAATGTGCCTAACTGCCATTAGGGTTAAGGACTAGGACAAATTTTTCGTTGCCAAAAAATTTGTCCTGGTCTGAGGATGAATTTTTCTGCAACTAAAAAGCATGTTCTTCTGATAAATCCGTATGGATTTCATTGTGGCTTCGTGCTACAAATAAGTGGTTGTCCTCTTTCCCTTTCACAGCCCTTGCACCACCTTGCGAGATTCTCCAGAACTCATTAGCAGTATTGCCCATGACCATCTATTATTCTTGATTTCGACTATGATGTCCATTAAACCCTTTTGTTCCCCGATACACTCAGCATACAACTAAGTCCAAAGATCTGAGAACAAAACGGCATTTGAATGATCGCTCGACCATATGAATCCTGAAGTGTCGCTTAATACTGATGGCATTGTCAGTTTCGAAGCTGCAGATGATGCAACGGTAATACCGTCCCCAACCCGGCTTCTCAGTGTCCGTAGTCTCTAGATGGAGAAAAGGTTCTGAAGCTGCGCATGAAAAAGGTTGCAAGACAGGTTACTCAAGCATTGCTTTTCGTTTCTCAACAGAAAATGAATTTAAGTTGAATGTTCTAGGGTGCAGCACCGCGATCAGGCAGTAGTGCAGAAATTTCTTTTATGCTTAAGGGCTGACATTAAAAAAAAAAAAAAGATTCTATTACCTTGATGAAACCTAGGATTTTCCTAATGTGTACATAAACACAAGTAGGTGAGTGCTTTTGTATTTGGCCCTAATTGAAGTGTAGCCACTGCATCTATTGATAATAATATGTCAAAATTATTAAAAATAAATAACACTGAAACACAAGTTCTGTCACTGTCATGTAAATGCCTCCATGGCATATGCAGGAAGAAAGCCCAGAGGTCAACACTTCACATTTTCTCGCAAAACCCACATATATGGTATTGTTAGATGACCAAGTTCGTGATGCACAATGCTACTTACATAACAAAAACAATTTCCTATTCTGTACAGTTGCCTCATTGTCTTAATATTCTTCATGAATGCATGCTATTCTGAATAGGACAATGCAGAACAAGGTATGCACATATGCCCTCACCGATAAGGTTCCAAGAGTAAGGGGATGCATACTCCGAAGGGCTCAACATAGTAAGAAATACATTTCAATCATAACCACTGCAATCAAGGACAACTCTACAGAAATATCTGCAGTCATGCTCCAGTGCTAATCCTAAATATTGCCTGCAATACTTCAACACTTAATAACAATCAACTCCACTCTTTTGAATACCCAAACAACAAAATAATTAAAATCATGTTCCAGACAGTGACTGCGCTAGACACGAGAGATCACAAATACATGAGCATCACAAAAAAAAAAAAGAAATCAAATCAAATTGTGTGAAAGAAAAGTAGTACCGGCTGAACTGCTTCAACATGATAAAATATGACCATAAATAAATAGCAAGATGAAATATTCAAAAAAGTTAAAGGCAAGAGTTCATGATGTGACGTAATAAACCTAAGTAGCCTCGGGGTCCTCTGATATTTGGCGACATGAACCTAAGGAGAGAAAGAAAAATAAGATATTAGCAACAGGTGAACAATATAAGAATGAAAGCAGGCCTTGCTACCACATGATTGCATTGAAGGAGTGAATTTCAATTCTAAGCTAAGCATGTTTTTAAGACTAATTCACGATCTTCCGGTGGCTATTTGTGTTCAGAGTATTTACGACTCTGAACACAAATAGCCTGCTATTTACTATCAACAGAATGAGAACTTTTTTTGTCACCTGTGCACTCACATTTCACCTTTTATGAGCACTATTTTCTGAAATCAGAGCTACATGCTAAGCTTCACATTTACGCATCAAATCTAAAGCGTACTTTACTCAGCAAGATGATGCTGTCGTGCTTTTCATGTACCATACTCATGGAATGAAACATGACACCACAACATCAAGCATAACAATTCCCAGCTGCAATTGCTCAAAGTTAACGTCATGCCGCTACGAAACTGACCTACCCGTGCATCCCGCTAGCACAACCCCTGATAGAAAGGATGGAGCGAAGAAGCAGAACCTCCTTGAGGCTGCAGCAGTGCACAGGTTGTCAAAATGGAACAAGAACTGAGACAAAAATACGGAAAAAAATAGGTACATTTGAACACAACAAAAAACTTACCAATGCACTGTCTATTATTTCATTCTGGAGTGGAACTGAAGTATTTATTTTTTGTTGGGATTACGTTTAAAAGAAAAGTTGCCAATCTGGAACAACCGAGCTAAACAAAATGATCATGAATGCATATCTCAGGAGACAGTGATAGCGTTTGCCTAAAGCCAGAATTCCAAAAGAAAAAAATTTGTTGAAATTTTGTGGAAAAAGAGAAAGACTGGCAACCAAAGCTGTTCGTGTTAATACAAGTGAGCCTCATATGCCATCATAAAAGGGACTCTGTCAGTTCTGAAGCTTGTTTTATCAGAACAGTGGTGTTGTATATCCGAGACTACGCTTGATATTATGCTGCTTCTGAAACAATGTTCACTCTTTAAAAGTAAAAGCATTCAGCCAGCTAGAAAAAAATGGTAAGTCAATAATGAAGAAAGTTAAAATTTTTATCGATAGTATGTTATCATTATAGCAAAATTTATACTTTTTTACATCGATAAAGATCATTACGAACTGCCAGAACATTTTCTTTTTTTGCTGTAGAACAGAAATAGAAATGGAACTTTTATCGGCTGAAAGAAGCTAAAAGCAAAACAAAAATAATTCATTCCAACACCCTGACTTCACACTGCATGATCACGCCGCAGTTCTTGGACAGGCACGCTAGGCAACTAACCCTCCTCTGAAAACAGAACTTGTATTGTTGTCACCGCCATTTCAAAGGGAGGTGGGCGAATCAACTTCCCATAACAATATGTCATGATCAAGCCCCACAGTACCAACCGTGATAGCTTCTAACAGTGTAGCTAGTTTTCTTCATCGGAATCAGCCAGCTGACAGTTCTGGTGCACCCGCAGCACAACGCTGAACAGTGTATTGACGCTGTTGATCCAGAGTGCTGCTGCCATGCATCAGCACTCTCCACTTTCGCCTTGAGACTCCCCTGCATGGCCCCAGTGGTTGCCCGTTGGTGCTCTCAAACTGCATTTTTAAACTGAACCTAGGAGCGAATTCCTTGCTGGCTTTCCAGTCTTCAAAGTCCTACCCCTCGATATGATCCCTAGGAGCTGACTACTTCCTCCCCGGTGGAGCTCACTTCACTGTAAATCACCGTGGAGTCATCCTCATTTGCTTGACTATGAGTAGGCACATCTGGCCAGAGATCTGAAGCCGACTGAACCACAATCCATTGATACGAAAAGCATTCTTGCGGTGACCAGTCTGACACATGTCTGCTCGCTGCAAGGATGTTACAGGTTGATAACGTTTCACACAAAGCAGCCATCATGACAGCCTTTGATGCTATCTTGCAGGCCAACGTCTTCGGCATCGGCCATTCCAACAGCGTCGTGGGCGAGTCTGCTGACGATGGCAAGTACAAAACCAAGCAGATCACCAAGAAGCCTTTCTGGGCGCCTTGAGATCCACTATCAGACAGTGAGAGTGTGACCGAAGCAACAGGAACCCGTCAAAGAGCTTTACCGATTCTAACGTTGGGTGCACCTACGATGGCGCTCAGGCATACGGATGCGGTACAACTAGATGACGCTGGAGCGATTAATGCGCCCAAAATCATTGTAGGCTAATATAATTACGTCCCCTGGTTTGGTTCGGCCCTAGCCCTAGATGATTGCTTGAACCCACTACGGTCTCGAAGAGCAACCAAGGGCGAAGTTCGCTGTTCTCATTGCAGAAGTAGGCTGTACATAATGTACATAATGTACGACAAGCCATCAACTGGGCGTTTTTTTCTAGATACCAAAAAAAAAAAATAGCAATAGGGAAAGGAATTAATCGACCAGTCCATCGCACTTTCTTGCCGCTACATGTTCAGTCGATTGGTAGCAAAGTTATACAGACATCAAAGAAATATACCCAGCCAAAAAAGGAACCAACACGTGAAACAAAGAAGAAAACATGAAAGCAGTTAGACTACCAACTGCTCATTCACGAATGCGAGGCTCAAGGTTATACATGCACTCATGCGGTCATGTTACAATCTCTTCACAAAAAATGCAAACTACAATAAACTAACACAAAATCACTGCATGTAACCTTCACCGTATTATTCACTGAAGATTCTAAAAAATATTACAGGAAATCTTTTTTCCTTCCTGCACATTGCCACAGAGCCATATCACTGCAACAAGTCTCACCATTCTTTGCAATGTGAAATGGTTCAAGCATTTCACGTGCCATTTCTTTTGTGGATTCTGCCCCCAATCCTGATATTGTTAAGCACTGGCTTACATTTGCACTGTTCACAATGAACGGCCGGCCAAATTCAAGCCTGCTCCTTTCTTGAATGATTTAAGATGTTTCCAGGCCCTAATGTTCGCACAACGACCCGTTTGGCCTATGTAAATCATTCCAAAAGTCAGTGGTATTACATACACAGTGTGAACAACACATTTCACAAAAGTGTGCCCATGCTTCGCCTCACAATGCGGCTTCTTTTGCCTGATGCGTACGCATAAACATCCCAGTTCCCTTGGTGTAAAAAACACCACAATAGCAAAGCTTCTGTTACAGAAGACCAAACAGATCTGGGAAAGCCGGCATTTTGCAGACTGTCGATATAGGCCCTAAAGCTAGTCTCACATATGCTCCTAAGACTTTGTCAAGGCAGATTTAAGGCAAAGAGAACCAGGCTAATGTTGCCAAATGTCGGAGACCGAAAATGGCTAGATTTCAGTGAAAAAGTAGCTAGAAATAGCTAAAAAAATCTATGAAGGAGCTAAAAAAGTAGCTAAATTAGTTTTTCAAGCACCTTTAGACATATTCTATATGTGCAACGAATCTACTGGCAGTTGTGTTATTTCACAGTCTAAACAGGCCTATAACGTAATGCTTTTTTTTTTGCACGCAACTATGCAGAACATAAATGAACGAAGAAAAAAGTGTCCCTACTCTGCTTCCAATAATTTAGGGCAGGGGTTGTTTCAGCAAAGTGCCAAGGTTTGTGAGCTCATCAAAGATGAGCTGGGAATGCACCAGAGCTTTGTAAATTTATGGGTGTGCAAATATTCAAAAACATTTAGTGAGGAATCAATTAATGCATAATAGAACCGAATATGTATTTCGAATAATTTCTGAAAAATCAGCACTGAGGAGGAGACCCGAATGAAACAATGCATTGGAAGAGCAATGGATCATTTTTATTGTTTTATTTAGTGATTTACCAAGATATCAATGTATTCCAAGGTGCATTCAAGATGCATGCAGGTCAGGTGACAAAAAGGTCAAGCTGTTATGGGAATAAGCTCCGCCCGCCACCGGGTGAATGATTTCTTTCCTTAAACTCCTGTGTCACTGAAGCGATTGTGTCTTCAATCCCTTATCATTTTCATCCAATTACTATCACTCATCCTGAAATAATGGCTACCTTTGACGTCTCAGCTGGTGAAAAAGCTGGAAATGAGTTTAAATTAAAGCACGTATCAAAGAAACTAACAAAAAAACTTGAGAATCTGCACTATCTAATCGTAAACAAACGTACGAAGGACTCTCCCTTGAAAATCGTAAAAGGGCAGCACAAGCATGAAGCTGTGGCGGTAAACGTCCTTCACTCCTGTGGTGCATATACTGGATGATATCGGCTATTGGCAGAGCATCATCCTTTTCCGTGCATTGCAGTACGACGCTATTGTGGCGATTACCGAGCCACATCACTTGGCAAGCTGCATTTGTGGTATCTTGCTTTATGTGTGTGTGTGCGTGTGTGCCATGATATTTTGTTGCAAATTAAGCAGAATTAAAGTGGATGAAAACTCGCTCGTTTTGTCGGCCCAATTTCGTTGTTTTTTTTCCCTGTTTAGTTCCCTTTAGTTTTTGACAAAATCTACTGGTTCAAAAACAGGAGCACTGTCCCCCATGCTTTTTTTTTTTGGATGGAATGCCTGTTAGGTTTCACATATATATGTACAAGTATTTCTCCCCCAGCACCAATAATCAAAACAAATATCATAACACTACAGCTAGAGTTAGCCAAAATAGCTAGATAAGAAGCTAAATTCTGAAAGAAGAAATGCTAGAATAGCTACTCGTAGCTAAATGAAATTTTCGGTAGCCAGCAGAGTCAAAAGTAAGCTAGATCTGTCTACAAAATAGCTAAAGAGGCAACACTTACTATAAACCATTAAAAAGAAAAAGTCTAGCCGCTTTCCTGTCTTCTCCATTTCCTGTGTTTGTTATTATTTTTTTGGCTGGATATATTTTCTTGATGTAATGCACCAACTTGACAAACAACAGGTGTTGCTCGTGATCGGACGAGAACAGGCGCATTCAGCATGGTATGGCCGATATGGCAAACACCTCGTGTTTTTCGCGCGCGCCAGGGGTTGTTCTCGTAGAGTTTGATCGCGCAAGCTAAGCAGCGAATTATCTTACCGTTGCGTTGCACGTTCGCCACTCACAAGCATTCAAAGGAAAGTCGCTGCTGCGTGGCTACTGATGGTCGACGGCCGACGGAGAAGTTGTGAGCGCGCACTGCACGTGCATAGCAGACCTCGGCAAGGCGCGCTGTTCACACGTTGGAGCCATAGAGTTACAGACACTCTATGGTTGGAGCAGTGCGGGCAGTGCATCCCGCGAACTCGGTAATGCGACGCCGATTCGTACAGGTACTCACGATGAATTCCACGCTTTGACGACAGCCCCGTTGACTTCGCACACTGTCCTAGTTTCACTTTTGCTGAAACCTCTGGACATTGAGCTTGCGTCATGCTTGCGTCTTGCGCGGTTGGAGCAACTGCGTACAGCGCAGAATCTAACCCCACGCGAAACAACGTGCCGCTGCGTGGGAACTTTTGGAAAAAAAAAAAAAAAAAAAAAAAACTTCCAGCGACGCAGTATTGCGAGTGCCACACACGGAAAGTCAGTGTTGTATCGCGCGTCGGACGCGACGAACGACGCCCGAAGCGCGGGCCGGAAAGAAGTAGAAAGTGACACAGCCGAGACCTGGGCGGAATCTCTCTTTTGTGCACAACACTTTGTACACAAGTAACACAAGCGTCGGAATGGATTGATATGGCTGAACGTGGCTGTGCCATAGAGTAACATACCCTATGGTTGTACTTGTACCACAGAACACCTATACCAGTTGCTATACCCTTTAGATTGGGCGGCGGCTACCACCACCTAGCCGTAATACTTAGTTATCAATTGTACAACGCCTTCTAAAGGACCAAAAAAAAAAAATCAAACTTTGAAACCGGAACCGAAACCAAAAAACCCGAACGACACAGTCAGGGCCTAGGAAAGGCCCACTACCTAAACACACCAAATACAGTGGACATGTTATGCCATGGGCTGCGCCGTAACAATCTTAAAAAACAAAAACAAAAATCACAGCATGTTCACGGAGTGTGTGATCATGAGTGAGGCGAAGTGCACGGACGGATGGGCACATGAACGGACGGATGGAAACACGGAAGAAGGAAAGGTTTTCCTTCCTACGTGGATGGAAACATGGACGGCTGGACACACGGTTGGACAGATGAACGTAGACGCATGGACGGAAGCATGGATGGGCAGATAGACGGACGGACCCATGCACGGAAGCATGGATGGATGGGCGAGCCGAAGGATGGATGGACACACGGACGGACGCTTCACCGCACTCATCACCATTCACTCCGCGGATATATTGTGCTAGAATTACTTTACATGCTACCTAAAAGTAGCATATACAGTAACTCTATATTGTGAACACTACTAACGCCATCTAGTTCTATGATACCCCGAAACATATACATACAGCGCTATCTATTGAGTGATTCATAAAACTAAACTAGAGGTGGCTACTACATACAGAGGAGGAAACTAAGGGAACTAGAAGAGATGTAGTTATCTAGTGGCACAAACCAATGTTACTAGATTCTAGGTCACTCTAACTAGAAGTAGCTTTGGGCACGAACAGCTTCGCACAGGCAGCCCGTTTTCGCAAGGCTGCTACGAGGTGGCGCCACTACAACCTAGAGTTGCCATCCATGGTTGCCGTGCATTTTCGTCACGCAATGCAAATTTTTTTGTTATCGGCGCTGCTATATCCACACACAACAATTTTACACATCCAATTAGTACTCATTATTTGCACATTTCTGGTAGTGAATGTGCTGGTAAATCAATAGCACCCAAACTCTGCGTAACGTAAAATGACTTTTGAGGCACCGGATTTTGCGAAACTTGCACCTGCACCCTTTTTGCGACGCGGACGTGCGGATTCCTCTCGGAATCGGCACTCCGTTGCCATTTATGACGGGAAAATAGTCACGCAGAACGAAATGCGCGGTTCAAAGTGGTGCGCGCACACTGTGAATGAAATGCTGAAAGCTTTATCTTTCCTGTGACGGTTCCGCTCCCACTTCTTTCGGAGGTAGTCAATCTTCGGCGCGGCGTACAGCGACGCTTTTGGCCCATTCGGGTAGCCCGTGCGGCAACCCGGAGCGAAGCACTAGTGCGAGTCTGTCCAGCACGGAGGAAGGAAAGGTACTCCATGCTGTCTAGTCTGTCCGCCTCTTCGCCTTGCCGGGGGCCGCACGTGGTGCTCACGATTGATGAGCTACATGAGACTCTGGGACAAAGCGTTTGGCACTGTGTATCCTTTTAAAGATGATAGTCTTTCTTGGGGACCTTCGACGGAAATAAATCGGTCCGTCTGTCTGTACATTTGTCTTTTTGTCCGCCCTAACGGTACCCCAAGCGGCACTAAACGGCCAACCCCATCCACAGCACCCACCAATATTGCTCAAGGTTTAGCTTTCATAATTGTGCAATTGTTAATTAAAAAAAACAAATATTGCGCATATCCGAGGCGCCATGACAACACGTATATGTTTTGTATGTCTGCCTTTATATTAGAAGAGGCACACACAAGTAACTCTAAGGACTGTAGCGTTTATCGCGCTGCGCTGACAGTCCAAAGCGATGCTCAACAAGGTGTTTCCAACGCTTTGCTACGACGATATGGTGGTGGCACCTGCCCGTCGCTTTGCATTCTACAAATTATCACCTCCGAGACTGGTGCGCATCTTTCTCCGCGGTCGCGCACGCCTTCGTTTTCGAAGATAACTGCCAGATGGCGCTCGTGTCTAACGTGCCTAGATGCGCTTGTTCGCTTACGCTACACGCTCGAGGCACTCTAACGCAGCGCCTCCAGAATACCATTCACCGATTTTCTTGCGCAGAACATCAAATAAACGTTTTGTTCACTCTCCCCAGACGCAAGACTATCGTCTTTCGACGACACTCACAGTGTAATGAGTAGATTCAAGATCTTTTATCGGCACAATCCACACGAGCAGGCACTAAAGCGCAACGGGTGCTCCCAACAATGACGACACGCAAGCCCCGCTAACGTTACCATAGCACGTTGGGCCAGAGAACGCTTTGAGTACCACACCGCCACCGCCCACACTTATGAGAATAGGGAGCCTTGGTGTGCGCTTAATAATCCTTAGCTCACAGCGCACGAGACACGGACGAAAAAGGGACACCCGAAGACCTGTGTGTATATTGTCCCACTCCTGCGATGCAAGCAGATACATAGCACATTTTATGGACATGTGATTATCAAGTGGTGATTTTGGGACGTTAAACCCCACAAATCAAATCATTTATGGACATGTGAGGGGTTGCAGCCAGAACGCTCCCGTCACCTCGCTCAATCCGGCCTTCGCTACAGCGACACAGCCAGTTACAACCACTGGATACATGAAAACAGATTCCACAAGACGTATACCTCACTTCATACACAGCACTGGCCTATCAACACACATTTAACGAAAATATTATGCCTTAAAGGCAAGTCTTTGTCGCAATAAAAAAGAAGAAGCGCTGACTAACAACTGAATTTTATTTCGAAGGAACATACGAGTATAAATATGCAGAATTGCCCATGTGCGAGTGCATGCTGTCGAAAGCGTCCTCCGACCATGATAACACGTAATCATTTTCTCAGTGTTAAGAAAAGCGTGCAAGGGAGCTCGCTCGCCTCAAGAATGATAACTTCTTTGTGGATATAGCGTTACAGAAGGTTTGTAAATCACTTTTCTTTTCTTCAGTTGGTGCTGCTTCAATAATCAACCTTTTTTTTTTCTCACATGACGTGATAGCGATTACGGTAGTGCCGTCGAAGATGTGAGTGCAGCCACATTCAGAACACTAGCTGTTGCACCGAAAAATCATCTCCACCTTTTTTTTTTCGTTTTTTGACGATGTTCTAGCCGACGCACGTTGAGACATCTTCCCGTTTGTCCCACGTATGCCGCTCCACAGAAAAGGGGTATGTGATGTACCACGTGTTTAGCGCACCTTATGATTGGGTTACTATGCTTAATATTGCAGCCTTCATCCTTATTCACATGGAATATTGCAGCAATAATGCGTGGTACAAGCGCACAGTACATTGCCATCAGGTGCCAGAACATGTGATTATCATATTGACTTCGTGGTTTGAAGCCGGTCACCCACTACAAAAGACAGGCACACACGCTATATACTGCGACTATTCTCTTAAGGCCCCGTAGTGGGTGCATAGCAACTTCGAAAGGTTTCGTGCACTAAGTGTTTGAAGTATCGGAAGTACGCTCTGGGAACAGGACATTAGGACATTGCTATCGCATTCAACTCTTGACGGCGAAACTTTTGGGCCCACTATTTTTGCCCCCCAGAAAGACACTATTCGCAGCGATGATGCCACAAGGAACATACAGAAATACTGTACGTGCGGAAATTCATCCATCCCCCAGTCATTTACTGAGTCGGACCTCAAGGCGCAGTCTGCGCCATACAGTAGCATAATAGAGGAGGTACTGCGATGACCTCCTCTCTCTCTCTCTCTCTGGCGAGGAACCCTGCGCACGCTTATGCTGGCAGGTGCCTGAATTCTAGACGATCTCAACTAAAGTACAAACAAAGTTTGCCAGCAAGATAGCTAATCACGTCTCTGCTCTCGCTGCCGTGTGTGAAAGTTGACTTGATGGGCAAGCTTGGAAATCATCTTTAATCTTTTCTTGACAAAGAAAGGAAAAGCAAGATTACTGAAGTTGGGTGAATTGTTGCTGTTTCATGGATACTTTTTGCCCATTCACTATAGGTGCTGTTTTTACGATCACAACCAACTAACCCGGATTACCACCCTCGTGACACACACGCGCGCAAACACGCGGGCACAAAAGAAATGTATTGCAGTTGCGGTTAGACAAAAAGGCGTAATACGCCGAGACGAATGTCCAGTAATCCGATATTGCGCAAACTTTCTCCCGTATACCTGAGTACTCGACACGCTGTACACCTCTGTTGATCTATGGTGGCAGGTGCCACTCAATAGAGGACAGCCACGGACAGATGTAAGTGAAGTAGGGAATACTTCGAAAGTGCCCTTGTTAGTCGGGCACGCCAACAACGACAGAGATGGACAGCAGCTTCCCAACATTTCACGCGAATAGTAGACCAGCTTCTTGAAGACGACAAGGACGTGACTCGGGGGAGGAAGGGACGTCGGCGTCCTTGCGAGTCTAGCCACGCCGACGATGGATGTGGCGACGGTCCCACCGTTCCCGCACCGCAGCCATGAGCGCCCGCGCCTGCAGTTCAATCTCCACAGCGTCGTGCAGTTGTGCTGCACACACGAAGCAGGCCACAATCAGTGGACTGGCGCAGAGCATTGGTATCCACAGTGACCGGCTGTTGCCTTCCCAAGCGACGAAGAGGAAGTACTGGAAGGAGTTCGGATATATCTGCAATATATCGCAAAGCGCACTGAAATTAGCTTTTTTTTTCTTTTCTTTTTGGCGGCATAATCAAGTGATGTG